GGCCTATAGGGTGACCGCATCTCAATCGGTTAAAAGGCTAGTTTGATTGTTTTTAACACTTTGTGGACTTAATTGATTTTCCAAAAAGTACAGGGATCCAATTAACTTTTTAGTAATAGTACGATGACATTTTCAACATTTTCCCTTCAAAACTCAAAGAGTATTGTTCATAGTGAATTTTATATTATTAAAACCCTTTTTCGGAAAATCAGATGACCATATATCTTTTGTCACACCTATTCTTCCGTCATTCTTCTCGAGAATGTCCATCATGGTCTTGTTTTCTATCTCAATATCTTAAAACAATCCTTCTTTAATAGTATTCTTACTCACCATTTTAAAGCATGAATTTCAACCATTCCCAAAATTCATGAATCCAATATGCTCACCATCTTTAGATGGTATTCGTGTAGATTGATCATCAGAGCACTCCAAACATGAAAGTTCTTGATCAAAGTTGAACGGTGAGATTTCAAACTTATTCTTGGTGCTTGCTTGCAAAATTTGTTGTCGCATATTTTTTTCATTCTTTTGTTGCATCTTTGTAATGTTTACTCAAGTGACTCGTATCATTCTTTGGACCACCCAACAAAAGTGTTCGACGATATTTGCACCTTGCTTTGAGCTTTTCACCAAATGTCTTTCTCAAAATGTTGCGAAATCTTTTACTTTAGACTTTTTAGTTTTGCTACATCAGTTTCAACTTCTACTGCCTCTTCACCATCAACATTAGCCTCTAATAGTATGTCATCAAGAGATAAGTCACCTCCATCAATAAGCAGATTAGGTGATAAATTTGGTACCCATGTGTTATAGGGGTGGTAGGTAATGAGCTTCTGCCAATCTCCATTGATAAAAGATCTACAAAAATTATTAAAATTTAAGTAATGTCATAGTTCTAAAAAAAAAGAACTGTTACGATGAGTGGTTCTACTCTTCTCAATCTAAAATAGTGAAATTGATACTCAGAATTATGTGATCTTATGAATACTTTGTAGAAATATTATACTACACAAGTCTTGTTCATTTTCTTAACCAATTAACTTGATACAATTACGTCCACTGTGTGGTGAACTTTGATACATTCACTAGGCGTGCCTCTCGGAACTGTCACATATTGTTCCTCTTATTTCCACTTAAACGTCGAGAGCAATGTTTACTTGACCGGTTGACCCTACTTTCACATTGTCAACTTTCATTGGCCAGGTACGACTCCCAATGGAAATCTTGGCCCCGTAGACTCTCTGACATTGGATATGTATTAACGTTGTTCTTCTTTATGAACACTGGCAGTTCCATGTCATCAACATTAACAATATTTTTATGATAAAATTAGTAGTTGTCAAAGATTATACGTAGTATTCCCGAGCAGCAGTGGCGTATCCACTATATGGACATTGAGGTCAGCTGCCCCCCTTTAACCCCAACCTAGCCCTATATACATATGTATAAAATTTTATAGAAAATTGCTCTAATAAAATAATAGAAGGATAAAAGTTCACTAAACTTTGTTGTTTAACTTCTATTTAGGTAATGTTCTCAAATTTTATCTGCAATTGCATCTTTGCACACACCTAATTAAATTGATCTTCTTTTTGTTCATACTTGTACATATATATTTTAAACGAAGTCTAATCAAATATTATTAATTATGTTATTTGCTATTTGTGAAATGTGTGACTAAATTCTGGTGTAAATTTGCCTCATTCATAAAATTTTATTGATATGCCACTTACTAGCACAACCGGTTTGTATTTTTCAATTTCTAGCTTGTTGGGTATTCTTGATGATAGTCTTCCCCATCCCATCATTACATATGCTAGATATGTACGTTCGCAAGATTGTTAACCCATAGAATTGTCAATGGTTGAAATTGGACCAAACAATCTACTCTTAATGCCCGCATCACTATCTCACACATTCTTTACTAATTTTGATCCATACTACATAGACATATTTTTGTTTTTAAATTCTCCATTTTGACCCTCTTGAGTAGCTCTTTAGCACATTCTTCTTGAGAACCGAAGATATCATCCTTCTTTTGTAGAAAATGTCACATAAGACCATCACAAATGATAATTTATACTTACATAATTTATGCTCATTAATTAATAAAGCTATTAAATATGTAGTACGAAGTATCATTTATAGTAATTATTATGTGTTCTCTATTAACGGTTAGCCTATGGGTAATCTGATACGGAGTATTATCTTATCCCATCTAAACAAATACTACTTCCCTCTTGTAGATGCATTAGATTTCTTCAAAGTTAGAAAATCATTTGATCTCCTATAAATAATTTCACATGGTCTCGCTCTCTACTTTATTGTTCATCCTTAAATATCACATTTGACTTTCTCCATCATCATCTTTTGTGTCATTTTTTTTTTGAAGAAAGGTGGATTTTATTGATACAAGAAAAAATAGTACAATGCGAAAAAGGAAAAAAGAAAAACAAAAAAGCAGTACAAAAAGGGGGGAAAAATAGAGATTTGAACTACATCTTCTGTGTCATTTTCTTTCTTCATTATTCTATTTTGTGTAATTTGATTTCTTCATCTCTCATTTCACTAATCAGTGGTACACTTCAAGTTATAAAATAAAATACTCATAATCAAGATTGCAAAAAACAATTGATTTGCAAATGATATCACATATATTTTATTTTATTTTTCCAACAAGACTAGTTAAAAAAAAGCATAAAAATCATCACATTAGAGAGAAGGAGTTCAATACAAAAGAAAATGTAACATACATAAACATTAAAAAAATAGAGCATAAATCCATCAAAGAGAAGAGTTAGAAGATGTCCGCACAACTAAGTAACTAATTATTTATATCATTATAATCTAGTCAATTCAATGTTTGAAGTCATCTTATCAATCTTCAGAGTAGCTCTTAGAACTTGCATGTTCACACCCCTGACAACTCCCAAAACAACGGTTTAGCGCATGTCTCTGACGGCAAAATGCCCAAGCAGTAGGTACTCAACAATGATCTCCACAACCATGGGCTTTGTGGAAAATCGGGAACCATGCATCTTCACCATTCTCGCATCTCCTTTCCACAAGAACTTCGGCTCCTTCTCAATCTCCTAGCCAGAACACTTATCAATCTTAGTCAACAACTCAGAGAAATTGACAACAATGTGGGAAGTGTGGCAGTGAAAAACCGGGGCATAACCACTCCTTATTTGGCGGGGTGGTCGAGGATGATGAGGCGCGAGGCGAATTTGGTTGTTGCCTTTGCAGGGTCATCCTTGAAATTTGAAGCAACATAATCACGTTTATATCCTTCACACCAACATCATTCCCTACATTGAACTCCACAGTGTTAGCTGGGAGTCCCTCCAGAACAGACTCGTATGATGCATCTCAACGTACCTAAATTTGGTGGTGAGATCAGTTGGCCTAAAAGCAACAACCATGCCCGGATTTATGGCAACCCTCTCAACACAACCAATAGGATAGTACCAATGCAGCCAATCTTGTAGACATCTCGAAGTGGGAGCCAGAGGGGCTTGTGATGTGGTGTCCTTTTAGGCTCACTGACCTAGTATAAGGTCTTAAGGAGGGTTGGGACGACCTCTCAAGTTGTAACCCTCCAAAGTAGAGATTGGAACAAAAGGGACCTTATCAAGATTGCATCCAACCTTCTTCAGGAAGAATGATGTTTCCTCCACAATCTCTTCATACCTAGATTTTGAATACTTAGGGGTTGACTCGCCCATCCTGTTGCAACAACAAATCATTTGCTTCACAGCAAGAGCGTAAGTAAGCACACCCTCTTGAAGAGTCTTGTCACCCTTGTAAATAACAACTTCAAAACCACCTGATGTGGAATCAATGAACTAAATAACACAATCGGCTTTTGAGGTTCTGGTGATCATGTTCTTGGATTAAATCCAGGTGTTGAGACACGTCAATCATAGAGCAGTGGTATTTTTTGTCTCAATCTTGACCAAAGAAGTATCATCCCCATCCCACACTCATGTCTGCCTTCGATTGACTTGTAAGTCAATGCTCACTTCTTCATCTTTTTCCTCTCCACCCCACTCTACATCTGAAAAACACTCATCATTAACATCTTGTAGTCGGCATGCCCAATCACCACTACAATCGGTCCTTTCCCTTTTTCTCTCCGACGGCCACCAGCTTCATTAGATATGACCAATACTTCCAGCCCCCTCTCCTCAGCGGCGGCGGCATGACTTCTGCAGAACCTGGAAGTGGTTCTGAATCCTTGCTATCACGTCCATACTAACTTCACTTCTTGAGGTGACAATTGAAGCGGTATCATAAAATACTCATATATGCATTAAATTCCTTTTAATGCTACACACACATATAGAGAGTAATATTATGGTCAGTTTGGACTGACCAGAACCGTCGTGCGGCTAAACCCATTTGAGTGTCTCCCGAGTTGAATTTTTTGATGAAATTTTGTGAACATCTTATTCATGAAGTGAGAATATTCACACAAAATCTCATCAAAAATGCAATCGAAAAGTCAGTTAAATAATTTTTTGAAAATCACTCCGTTTTGTATGCATACTTTTATGCAGTATTTTTCAATAATTTATTTAATTGACTTCCTAATTAAACTTTTTGATGAAATTTTGTGTGAATGTTCAACAATTCATGAAGAACATCTTCACAAATTTTATCAAAACATTCGACTCGGAAAGCCCTCAAACGGGCTTGGTCGCATTACTCTATATATATAGAGAGTTACTATCCTTTTGAGGCCTGCCTTAGAGGACCCACCATCTGGCCAAACCCGTTTGAAGGGACTTCCGGATCAATTTTTTTGATAAATATTTTGAACATTTATCAAGTATAGTTTATGATCACAAAATTTCAACTAAAAGCTCTCACATAAATGTGTATAAAGTCTACATGAATGTATAACAAAATGTGTACAAAGAGATTTTTTTATTCATTTAATCCACTTTAATTCTCTCCAAAAAGGCAAAAGCAGTACGGATGGACAATGTGTTGTTTAATTCCAATAAAATTTAAGCTCATGTGGGACAGTGGGGAGTTACAAAAACAAACGAATTTACGAACAGCAGTCAATTTCATCTACGCGGTTTCAATCGAGAGAAGCGTTGGATTTCGGGATCCTGTTCAGGTTCATCACATCGTTTCACTTCATAAATACATACTCCGTATATGGGTAACCGTCACGGCCGTCTCCCCGGGCGGCGACCCCACCACCAACCCGTCCCCGCACCTCCACCACATGCCTATAAATATGACCCCCCCGCCAAATCACTCTGCTCCACCAACTCAGCTGCCGCAGCGGTATAAGATGGGTCTGGCTTTGCCGTATGCCCACGTGGACTCCAGCCTGCGAGCTCTCGCTCACCAAGCCGAAGGCTTTGGTCGCTCCGCCATCGGCGGCCTCCACGGCCCTCTCTATCACGTCACTTCTTTACACGGTCAGCTTACCCCGAACTCGTTTGTGCATATGCTTCAAAGGAAATATACTCCTTATATAATAAAAATTGAATCTTTTGTTTAATGTATAGTGTAGGCGATATAATGTTAGCAGTTAACCTATTTTTTTGCGTCTCGCATTCTTGGCTGTTGGGTGAAAAAGAGTGTACCTTTTAAGAAGGATTCAGTATGTAACAGTAATTTATTTGGGGTGAACCTGATGGACATGGAAATTTGGGAATTGTCTGACTGGGAAGGAAGGTACAGGGAAAAGGGTTGAATTCACCCCAGGCTAGTAATAGTAATTTAGTACCGATTAAGTATTCATTCAGGTTGAACTTTGCATTTTCACCTGTAGGCTGGAAGTTGTTCAGCAGTTTTAGTACAAATTGATTATACCCTTGGAGTGAACTTTTTAGCATATGCCATATATCTGTTTCAATGCATATGTTAAAATGTACACATTAGGAAATCTCTCATATTTCATCTACCACATAGATTTTGACGTTAAATTGTTAATACTATTACTATTCTAGTTCCTGAAACGGAATCACCACTCATTCTTTCTTTCATTTCCTTGTAGTGGTGTACGATCCCAATTTTTTTGAATTTATAGTGGCCAGTTTTTCATAAAGTTTTGCACTAAAGAATTTACACATGTAAAAAGAAGGTTTTGCCGAACTTAAAGCGGGCAAGGGCTCACTTTGGCCCCCCTATCTAAGCCCGTGTTTCACGCCTTCTGTTTGTGGGATTCCTCACTCTATTTTGCATTTATTGGTCTAAACTTGCAGATGATGGACCAGGGTCTCTACGGGATGGATGTCGTATGAAAGAACCTCTCTGGATAGTGTTTGACATTTCAGGGACCATTGAGCTTAGGTCCTATTTAAGTGTTTCATCGTATAAAACCATTGATGGGAGAGGTCAAAGGATCAAACTCACTGGAAAAGGCTTGAGGTTGAAGGAGTGTGAACATGTGATTGTCTGCAATCTGGAGCTTGAAGGTGGTAGAGGACCTGATGTTGATGGGATCCAGATTAAACCCAAGTCAAAGCACATCTGGATTGACCGGTGCAGCCTAAGTGATTTTGATGATGGGTTGATTGATATCACCAGAGAGAGTACAGAGATAACTATTTCTAGGTTAGTTGGATCTCTAAGTACGATATTCATTTATCAGCAAAATTTGGTCATATGTTAATCCATCTCATATAGACCGAAGATAAAATATACAAACCCACAAACAGATTTAGTGGTTGGTCTGCATGAGCGATCTCATAGGGCATTTTAAGTCAGTACATACCTGTCAAATATAAAATTACAGACTCGGATCTTAAGATCAATCTCCTTCATAATACTCAATACGAAAATACAAATCCACATTACATATGTGCTCTAATAAAGACTGCCATTTCAAGTCTTTCCTTATGGACCAACTATAAAAATACAAATCCAAGATATAATTTTTTAGGTTGGTTTGATCTAATAGGCCATCATCTTGCGGGAGTTCTCCCAACCGACCATATATACAATGATAAATCTACAATCGTAGCATTTTCTCATAAACATATTACATATCCACTGCATTCAGGTGTCACTTCTCAAATCATGACAAGACAATGCTGATCGGGGGAGATCCATCCCATGTGACAGATAGATGTATGAGGGTGACTGTACATCATTGTTTCTTCAATGGGACTAGACAGCGTCATCCTCGTGTTAGGTTTGCAAAGGTGCATTTATACAATAACTATACAATAGGCTGGGGAATCTATGCTGTCTGTGCCAGTGTAGAGTCTCAGGTATCATTCTTCTCACCAATTCACCATTAGAGTTTTTCGTGCCTGTTTGAGTGTTTGGCATCAATGTGTAATGTTTATGAGTCTCATCATTGTTCTGTTTTACATTCCCCTTCGGGAGTGAAACAGAGACTATGTTTGGGTCCTGAAAAGTACTAGGGAAATGAAGGAAATTATTAAGAAAAGTCATTTAATGTTTGGATCTACCACGGAAAATGTAAAGAAAAATGGAACATGATTAATGTATTTGAATTGCTTGGTATTTGTATCATAGAATAAACAAAGAAATAAAACAAATGCAAACAAACTTTAAAGGGAAAACTGTCAAATAGGTCCTCGAACCTTCATAAAAATGTCAAATAAGTCCTTATATAGGAGATTCTGTCCGGCCATAGCGATTTGGGGAGGTTCCCGGTGGAATTGTTTGATGAAATTTTTTCAGCATTTTATTCATCAAGTCTAGTTTGCTCGTACCGAATTTCAGCTAAAACTTCAATCGGGAAGGCATTCAAATTAATTCTTGAAGATAACTATGCAGTTAAATACGCAGTTATCTTCAAGAATTAATTTGAAAGGGTTCCTGATTGAAGTTTTAGCTGAAATTTGGTATGAGTAAACTAGACTTGATGAATAAGATGCTCAAAAAATTTCATCAAAAAATTCCACCGGGAACCGGTGCCCCAAATCGCGACGGCCGGACAGAGCCTCCTATATAAGATCTTATTTGACTTTTTTTATGAAAGTTCAAGGACCTATTTGACAGTTTTCTCAACTTTAAAACTAAATTTGTTGTTAGAAAGAATGTTAGTTTTTCCACGACATTTTCTTTCCTTCCAAATTTTCCTGACCTCAAGGGATCAAAGAAGCAAACTGCGCTTCTACCATCATTTTTATATTGTTTTATAGTATATTTAAATTAAATAAATGCAATTTTAGATGTTGCAGCTCTGTTTATTAGTCACTCCATCCATCAACAATTTAAACAAATTAAATCATTTAAGCAATAATTTACCTTTACCAACCTGGCCGTTGCATCATTATTGTTGTTCTTTCTTAGATATACTCGCAGTGCAACATATATGAAGGGAGACAGAAGAAAGTGGCATTCAAGTATCTATCCGAGAAGGTAAAATGATGCGGATCATGTTCATTGTTCCTCTAATAACACTTCTACCATCAACATCAGACAATAATCTACTCTGATACCAACTAGGGTGGACCCGAAACCCGAGTGGACCAGGGCAGGCTGGTTTTTAGTCCGTAGACCGAACATGTTCTTGGTTCGGGACCTGTACCTGAAGCCTGTCCAAACTGGTTCATCCAAAATAGGAGCTTACCAGTTCTGGTTCCGGGTCCAAATCCGTATTTTGTAATAGGCTAAAACCGATCTAGAACCAACCCAAGAACCGAACCAGAATAGACATGAGAATCGGCTTGGTTATAGCTCTGGTTACGGTCCTAGTCCAGCCATTACCGTGACCTGGAACCGAAATGACTATTATAGTTTTGTACTTTTGTTTCCGTAGGCTACTGATAAGTTGGAAGAATGCACGGGCGGAATCAAATCGGAAGGTGACTTGTTTGTTTGCGGAACACAATCAGGCCTGATGCCAACAGCCAATGAAGGTGATGTGTTTCATCCAAGCGAATACTACCCTACATGGACTGTGGAAGCTCCCTCTGATGACCTTAAACACTTCCTTCAGCACTGCACAGGATGGCAATGTGTCCCACTACCCCCGGATCTGACTGTCGTCACTTGAACATATATACATACCTGTGGCCAGAACACAGACAAACAACTAGAATGCTCTCCGTGTTATTTATGTTTAATTTTCTTTGTGCTATATGCCTATACCTCGTTGGTGTGCTCGTGTAATGTTAGCTCTGGTACAACTTGTTTCTTTAGCACACATATGATATATAGTATATCATATAACATTGTTGTATCTCTTACAGTAAGACATAAAAGGTATATATTTTATATATGATGAAATATGTTTTCACCATTTACATAGACACAATAGTTGAAACTTGAAAGCAATCCCAATTATGCATGATGAGCTTGAAATAATGTCTAGAGAGTAGAGACTAGAGCTAAGGATTACTTCAAAGTTCAAAATGGGAAGTTTTTAGTAGAGCAATCTCAATCGTTTGATTTTATTATGAGGTAAGGGTGAGATTGGTATTCGAAGTTGCATAAATAGGGTCGAATAAGTCTTTATATAGGAGGCTCTGTCCGGCCGTCGCCATTTGGGGCAGTTCCCGATGAAATTTTTTGACGAATTTTTTTGAGCATCTTATTCATTAAGTCTGTTTTACTCATAACGAATTTTAGCTAAAAATTCTAATAGACTAGGGTCATTTATTTATTTTAAACAATATTATTCTACTATAAATATATCTGTCCGGACTCCTTAGAGAGTAACCGTATTTATCATATGAGCATAATCTCCTCCATCCTCTATCTCTGCAATTGGCACACCCATTGTCCCTGGTTCGCAGCCTTCAGTTCTTCTCCCTGGTAGTGCGTCAATTGATGGTTCGTCCTTCGCTTCCCCACTGCAAAGTTCACTGCCGGCATCCAGCCTGTTTCCAACCATGTGAGATAATGAATCTGGTTACTCGCTAAGGAGTCCGGGCAGATATATTTATAGTAGAATAATATTGTTTAAAATACATAAATGACCCTAGTCTATTAAATTCAATCGGGAAGGCATTCAAATGAATTCTTGAAGATTACTGTGCAGTTAAAAGCGCAGTTATCTTCAAGAATTCATTTGAAAGCATTCCCGATTGAAGTTTTAGCTGAAATTTGATATGAGTAAAGTAGATTTAATGAATAAGATGCTCAAAAAATTTCATCAAAAAATTCCACCGGGAACCGCCTCAAATGGCGACGGCCGGAGAGTAAAGACTTATTTGACTCATTTTTATGCAACTTCGAATACCAATCTGACTCTTACCTCATTTTATTATGTTGCGGTAAAAGAATTGTATGTTGCATTTAAAGATGTAATCTTAAGCGGTGGTAGATATTCATAAATACTTTTGGAAATCCGGTGACGTATCTCTTTAGTGCAACATCGTCAAACCCCTAGTACAACATTGAGTTATTTTAATGCATTTTTCGTGTGTGGTTCCAACTTCCAATAAGAAACTACTTAATGTGAGAATTGTGAAAATTTCCCTTTTAATTCCCTACGGAGCAGTTTTACATAATTTGCACTTTTATACGTACGGTAGCAAGAAAGTTCATTTAATTGTGATACTTTCAGCGCACTTTTACCTAATATGATGTATTTTGTCACTTTTAAACCCGTTAGATTTCATATTTATTAAACTAGAATCACTAGATTGATTCTCATTTCTCAAATGGAATTGAGTTTGAGAATGAGGTCAGTTTGATTGCTCGATGAGAGGCTCATGAGTAATATTAGAAGTATTTCTTAGCTTCAACTGGTTTTGATTGAAGTATTTTAGAACTTTGATGCAATGATTCAAAATACTTTGAACAGACGGGCCAATTTCTAGAACATTGTCATTAACTCGTTTCCTTAAAATACGACTTGTTATTAGATTGAATTAGAGTATATTTGATGAGTATTTACTAGATAGCATTGTCTTGAGCTATGAATGGAAGACATAAATGGAACTAAAATGTCATCTACTAAAATTGATTTTTTACCGAGCTCCTTTACTACAAGGTAGAAACTAGAAACTTCTATACTTCATTGGGTCATTCGTGTCAATTGTACTCAGGGGCGGACTTGCTTTGTTCAAAGGTGTTCAGACGAACACCCAAAATTTTGAAAATAAAATGTAAAAATACATGTATAGAATTGATATGATAATTCATGTATTTTTATATAATATTTTTTACTCTTAACCCTTTTGCTAGTTTTTTGTTGTTGAAAAAATTGTGTTTCTTCAATTGTGGGATCAAAAAATATTATTGTGTAATATTTTAACCATGAATTTGTTTGAACACCCAACTTCCGGTTGCAAGATCCGCCACTGATTGTACTATGCAACTCTAAATACACAATAGACTCGTGTACTTTATTCTTTAAAGTTTTATCATTTTACTATTCATTATAAGGGTGTCAAGTAATTATTTTTGTTTTTAAATTTTGTATATTAAATTTTTGTCATATCTCAACTCGGGTTTTTCACCACAATCTATAGTTTTTATATAGTAAAGCTCAGTTTTTAATAGCTGATTTGTCGATCTCCTATTGGCTAACAGAAAATTAAATAATATCAGTTTCAAAAATAAAATCACAATCCGCTTTTCACGTAAATGAATTTTACCACCAATGATAATGTGTGATGAGTTTAATCAGACTCTTCCAACTTATGTCACTTTCATAGTTTTACGTAATGGATAAAACTAATAATTAATATATAGGAGATAATATCAATAAACTATTATCTAATCAATAGATAATATCAATAAACTATTACGGAGTAATTATTACGTAGATCTACTACAACAATTAAGTCATAGATAATATCAAAAAAAAATTAAGTCATAGATAATATCGATAATAATATAATTTAAATCACTTTCACATCCAAATATTACAATCGATGGACTTCCAACAATATAACCGATAACACTACTACAAAATAGGGTTTCCAACTGACGAGGAATGTCGCGAATTCGCGATGTAATAGGTAATAACATTTCACGTCGGTTTCTAAACAGACGTAATAGGTAATAGCATATCACGTCGGTTTCTAAACAGACGTAATAGGTACGTTATCACGTCGGTTATTTTGTAAAACCGACGTAAGAAGTACTCGTTTTTTATAATAAATAAGACCTTCCACGTCACTTTTATTGTAAACCGACGTAAAAAGCTTTAAATAAAACAAAAAAATAATACATATAACGTCAGTTTTTCCAATAAAACCGACGTTTTATGTACTTTTTAGAAACAAAAAAATGTTATTTACATAGCCCATGAGATGGAAAATATAAAAAATTACAGAATGTCTGTTAATTACTATACGAACATAATAAAAAATTCCCTCAAAATACTATGGGCAATCAAATTATAGTAAACTATGGACGATCAAATTATAGTAAACTATGGGCAACCAAACTACTAAATCGCCTGCTGCATCAAAAAAGACGGTTTCCCTCTTATACTGCTTCTTAATGCTGAAAACCCAGACTTTCGGAGTCCCAATTAACCAGTTCCAACCATTGTCGTGTATCTGCACTACAACACCTATAAACAAAGGAATACAAGTGGAGTCCGGTTAGATGAGACAAAAAAACTGAAATGTTTGAATCATACCACATAATTTAGAAATATCCTCTAAAATTACTTTAATATTAAAAAAAAAACTCAAATAAACAAATGACGTATTTAAAATAACAGAACTGTCCAAGTCTTACACTCCTAATTAGCTGAGATTCCCAAGAATTGCTTTTGATCAGTCCCTCTCACGCTGTTTCATTGGCCAATACATTAAGACCTCCCCTGTTCAACTCATCTGGAAATCAAAAAATAAATAAATATATACTGACAATGATCTAATGTTCTAATTCTGCCAGAACATACCTCAGAATCACTACTCTTTGGTACTAATTTTCGTATTGATTAACATTAGATATTAAACAAGTACTACTATTTGGAGCCATTAATCACATCCTTCCCACATAAATCTTTTAAAATAATTATTCGTATATAAGTATATACTAACTTTAGTAAGGCAAAAAACAACTAACCTTAGCTTGAATATCATTGTTTAAAAAAAAGGTAGTACGTGTACTATTTCTGCAGCGGCACTATCTATAGATATTATTTACATTTGAAGGGTCAATTGGAAAATAAATGAGAATCTAAGTAATTATTAAGCACAAGCTTGTTATATTAGTAGCTTAACTAGGATTCAAATACTTAATCAACATAACACATATAGAAAAAATGACCGAAGAAGAATATATGGAGTATATAGAAAAAAATATGGTTCCAGAAAATTACTTGTCAATTGATTTGAGGTCATAAGGAGTTTCCATGATATTCATTCTTTCAAATATGAGTATCTCTTTATTTAGCTCCTGAGCCTGAACATAAGACAACAACTGATACAAGCTAGAAAAAATGCATACAAGACAAATAAACGAATCTCACAAGACAACAGTTTTACACTTTTACCTTCAATGAATCAAAAGACGTTCTCAGTAATGAATGACCAGCAAGACCTTCATCAAGAAAAATAAATGAATCTCACAAGATAGCAGTTTTATGCTTTAGTGGGTCTGTGAAGTAGAATATAACTTTGCAGTTTAAATGAGATGAAAGTTGACATCAAATTCTTTGTTTAGGTTTAAAGTATCCAATATAATAACCTGTATTTGAATAAGTGGAACAAGTTACAAAGCCCATACTATTGTAACGATAAAGATACGCATGAGTCAGTTACCAAAATTTATCAAACAAGTACCCTCATCTAGTTTATCAAGATCAAAGTATCTATTTGCGCGCAGATCCTTAACTGTCAGCAACCTTAGATATTTTTGAATTCATTGCAACTCCCTGCAATATAAGAACAAGACAACCCATAGTGAAATAATTTCTTTTGAGTTTAATCAGTATCAGGTCTAAATATGGGCATCTCAACCATTAAGTAAGCATCGAAAGCATACCTTCTTTTCACATGTTAAATGATATACTATCGATACATATAGTAAATACAGTTTGGGAATGAGATGCTAGCCAAATGTTTAACACTAGTGCAGTAAAAACTCTTTTTAAGGCATCTGTATTAGTACATGACATTGATGTTCACTCAGAATAAACAAATATTCTCCTTGCTTAAAAGAGGAACAATCCAAAATCCTAAAATTCTCAAATTAAATTTATCAAAATAGGAAAAGAATCAAAATAAGAAATGCATTACAGAGCCACATAAACACAAACACTCATCCAAAAATATGACTAATGTGTCAAAATACTGCCAACAACAAACTGAAAAAATGAAAAAATATGGT